AGTATAAATGGTCTTAACACAATAACTAAGAAAATGTGGTGAAGGCTATGTTAACCAGTTTGATGAAACTATTTCAAATGGTACATAAAACCAGGATATTGTACCCAATAATTGCATTAATGTACACAGGTATGAATAAATAAATCAATAATAAAACAGAAAATGACCCAGCTGGGCAGGGTGGCTCACTCTTGTAACCCCAGCACTCCGGGAGGCCAAAGCAGGTGGATTGCTTCAGCTCAGGAGTTTAAGAGCAGCCTGAGCAACAAGGAGATCTCATCTCTACTAAAAATTTAAAGACTAGGCAGGTGTTGTGGCAGGTGCCTGTGGTCTCAAGGGTATGGGAGGTTGAGACAGGAGGTCCCAGGGAGGCTGAGACAGGAGGATCACTGGAGCCCAGGAGTTTGAGGTTCTTGGGAGCTATGATGATGCCATGGCACTCTAACCCAGGTTGATAGAGTGAGACTGTCTTAAAATAAATAGATCGTAATAAGAATCCCAAAGAGACTACAGGTGGCACAGCAAAAAACTAACATATTTCCTATCTGGACAACCTGTTGTTTAACCCAATGAAGTGAGCGTTCAGAGCAGAGAGTGCAATTATCTGCCCCCCACCCCACATGCAGACACCACTGGGCTGTCTCCCCACATGGTCCCAGAATGACAGAGCACGATGACAGGTACTTTCTCAGCACACATGCCCTTAGGTAAATCACCCTCCCTATGGTTTAAACAACATATCCCGGTGTTTCCATGGCTTTCAAACCCACGAGGATGCTAAGGGGCTTGCAGAAACTTCCAGGGTGCAGCATTCGGGTTTGAAAAGAGGCAGGGGCATCTTGGAAGACCCCAACGCCCACCCTCCTGCCTGCCAGGGAGTCGAGAGCACCCAGCGGGCTCCAGGGAAAACCCGTACAAACCTCCCTCTTCATTCCTGCAGACCGCTGGAACTGGAAGACACAGCTCTTTGGAACAACGAATGTTTATTCAACACTGCACCAATATTTTGCCAGGTTTTGAGGCAAGAAAAGACAATTTTAGAAATAGCCCCTGCCATCTCCCCCCACATCCCTGGGGCTTACGACAGGCACTGGAGGTTTGCTGATTGCTCGGCATGAGTGCATAAAAAAAAAAAAATAAAACCTCAAACTGAATGGAACAGAGGGTAGAATTTCAAGTGTGCTAAATAGAGCTGTAAGCAGGGAATAGTCGCGGGAAGGATGAATACCTCCTAATTGCATAATTGCACGGGGCTTTACAGTTTGGGGGGAGGCTTCCCATACATCCTGCCAGCAATTTTCACAACAGTCTTATGAGATATTATTACCCAGAATTAACAAATTAGAAAAAATGAGAGGCATCCCAGGGAAAGAGACAGGAAGGGAATTGTGGTTTAAGATGGCCAGAGAGAGACACCATCTCTACCACCCTCTCCCTTCCTCTGCCTCCCTGGTACACGTCCACGCTGCACTCAGATTCACCTCGCTGCCTTCATCCTGGATGCTGTTTTCTGTCAGGAAGAGCACTGTCCTGAATTAAGCGAAGAAACAGAGGGTGCAGATATTGTGGGAAGGGCATTCTGGGGAGAGGGAACAGCCAGCACAAAGACTCATGTGGGGAGACACTTACCAATTTGGTTAACAGCGTAGAACACCAAGGTGGCTGTACCCACAGAATTTACAATGGGGCAGCAGGGACTGTTCCCTTAAAGAGATTTACTGTACTGAACCATACCTAGACCTCAAAAGAAAGTGAACTGACGGTATTTAGGTCTTAAGGTGTGACAACTGCGTTTCTGAATGCCACTGGGGATTATCTAGGACGTCCTGGGAAGCTTACAGTGTAGACTCAACCGCTAAGATCTCCAGACCTGCACTCCTAAATTGATTAATTCAACCTGTCACCCTCCGGGCACATCAATCCAAGATGCAATTATCCCAAAGATCTGTCTTCATTAGTCCACACGGCTGATTGGGACTCAGGCATAAGCCAAACAGGGATGACAAGCTGCCTGTTTTATCAGGGCTCAGGCACAGTCAAGGAGCTTCATGTGCTCATTTTAAGTGCAGTCCTGATTCTGTGATTCCCAAGAGGACGTGTTGGATCTAAGCCTAACACAGGGGATGGTACACACCTGCATTTTCGATGGCTCTTTCCTACATTCATTGATCTTGAGACAACTGGGATGAGGAGATGACACCCCAGCGTGTGCAGGTAAGTACTTAATACATGATCACTGGATTTGATCCCGGATGCTGCCAACTGCACAGACCTAAATAGCACGAAAGTCCTCCAAAAAGCTTAACCTCCATGAATCCGGAGGGCAATACAGTATTAACATGCAGAACGGTCTTTATGGGATCCCCAATACAAAGAACAAACCAAACCCTTCAACTTTCCAAATGCACAAGCATCACAGTTTTTTTTTTCCAGGTACTAACTTTTTTGCCCAGGGTAGTAGAACTGAATTTGGAATCAATCAGGTGCAGGCAGAGGATAGAGATTTTCTAGTGATTTAAAACAAATAGGTGGCACCCATAACTCAGTGGGTGAGTTGGGAGTCAGACGCATACACCAAGGGTGGCAGGTTTCAAACCAGCGT